TTTCGAAAAATTTGAATTTTTTTTCAATACCCACCACACACGATCCCAGCTGGAACCGCCGTCCGCATGACACGGCTTCTGCCGCAGTCTGTCCCTGACGGACTCCGTCTCTGCAAAGAACCGTCCTCTCTATGAGCCGGTCTCTGACAGGCCGTCTCTGGAAAGACCTGGTTCAACAGATATTGTCTAAAATTCGCACAAAACAAAAGAGTTTTGAGGTTCAAAATTTTTTGAAGTTGAAATTTTTCAATTTTGTTTATGTAATTCAGTAAAAGAAGCACGAAGCACGAAGCATACACTAGAGGAAGTTATAGGGCAGCAATTTCGAATGCTGTGCCATCGAGGGACACATTTACATTATTACCAACATTTTTAATAATCTTGTCAACACCAACACATTATAATTCTGTAATGATACAGCATCACAGCACCTATTCCATAATCTTATAGATGGTAATGATAGTAAACAATAAATGTGATGATGAGTGACCTTTCTTAGTTATAAGGCAACCAATACTGATACGTCACAAATGTTTCGGTCAAGCGAGCACAACTGATAAACCATTACATCAGTCGTTCTTCACCCAGAAGATCAAACATCATCTCACTAAAACATTAAACAGTTAGTGTCGGATTTAATTTTGGATAAACGAAGAATGGCATTTCTCTCATGTAAACAGTCACACTTTCCTGTACAAACACTGTTATCGAGACAGGTCTACTATGCAATTTGGAATTTTTGTCGCTGGAGTGTTAAATTGAAAATCGTCATTTCTTACATTCATGGAGGGATGAATAGTTTATCCCATTACTGTGAATACATCTCAGTCCATAAAAACATAACTATCAAACACACACACAATATTAATTTCTTGATATACAGGGCATAAGAGAGGCATGCACTCTGACACAATCATCACAGTCACCGCGAACTATGATTATTACATCTTCGTCAGTATTATCATCACACTCACCTTCAGTACGAACACACGGACACACACACTGTATCAACTTCAGTCAACAACCAAGATCTCCAAAATAACTGGAAAAAATGCAGGACCATCGACCAAGTTATATTAATACCCATTATAATTGTATTGAAGATGCAAGCAAATGTCTTAATTATAAAGCAACAAAGTGATTCATAATTACGATATCCTCACTCCTTCACAAACGTTTTAAGCAGTAGCGCATCATAACCGATTCCTTTGACTTTGAGGCATCCATTAGTGGATTCAATAATTATAAAGGTCAATTTATATCGCATTTTAAATTAATATTTAGTGTTAGTTATCGCAAAGGATTTTTCAGCGCTTTCAAGTGCCCTTTATGATATTTCAATCCTTGACACTTGATGGAGTAAGTTATGAAAGGGCGCACAATGCATTACTTATTTCAACAAAAATATTTTATGAATTTATTGCGTACTTTTTATGAAGTCTGCACAAATTACATAAAATGAACGCGCAATGTGCAGATCCTTGCTTCATGTCGTCTGTGTATGTCACCTCCGAAGCACAGAACATTTCTCGATAAAGTTCTCTATTAGGGGGTCTAAACTGAAATTTCACAACGAATTTAATTGTTCTTCACGTCGGTCCTCTTAACCCATATTTTACAGGAAACTCATGTAGAACTTCAAAAAGTTTTCAAAAAAATTATTTCTATCTTAATTAACTATATGCATGGTGACATAACAGTAAGATAGAAACTGAATAAAAATGTGTATTTCGAATTTTAAGTGTGTAAATTACACTTTTGTATATAGATTAATAAATAAATAAACAATTACAGATAAATTTCATATTTCTGCGATAGACGGACAAAGCCCAAAATAACTATTTAACACGATGTGACTAACCAACATCAGAAAACTTTAAACTTTTACCAGACGAATCTAATTCACATTCTAAAACACGTTACTTTAAGATTCACTTTAATATTATCTTCCTGCCTACCCCTATGTCCCAACAACGGTATTTTATATCCAACTTTAATTTTGTATTAATTTATCATCTCCATCGTCTTTGCTACATGCATTGCCCATCTTCACATCCTTGATTTCATCACACCAATAATAAATGGACATGAGCACGAATTATGAAGTTCCTGATTGTTCACTTTTATCTATCGTCCTGTTACTTATTTCTCAAAATTATTTATTCTTCTCAGGCTGCAAATATTTACACACACACAGTCATGGACCTGCAATTTCACGAATCTCTATTTAAGTTCATGTTTAAAAATTGTCGTGGGTTATTCCAAAAGCAAATATGAACACCAATACTCTCTTGAATATGAGTCACGTGGTCATGCACACTTACGATCGATATAATCAGTAACATTAGGCCCCTATTACAAAAAATTTGCGTACTAGGTATACAGCATCGTTAAAAAGACGACACAAGTACAAGACTGAGAACGGCCATGCGCACTTTACAATCAGACAGACAGATGTATGCAAAATAAACTAGCGCACAGTTCAGCGTGGGCTCCTACTATGGACGAAACATGTTTTGACATCCCTGGGTCACATATTTACAATTTAATTAGAGATGCGTTACTAGATATAGCATATTTATGGCACCTCAGTCTTTACTGACGAGTGTCCATTTCAGAGAGCGTTGTAAACCTTTCTTTGCTTATTTTTATTTAAACATACCTGTTTATCTTAGTATGTAAGGTACAGTGAAGTATATTATCTATTTTTCAAAAACACATATATTTCGTTTACTGATCTTCCCAAAATCTGAGCCAGTACGTATAAGCATGGAAATAGCTGAATCAGAATTTTAAAAACCTATCGTCTCAATCAAATTGTACGTTGGAATTTAAAGCATTCAGATATAAAATAACAAATAAATTAAAAACAAACGAACGTTCGATCCAGGCGATCACGTTTTCTAACTGAAGTCTTCGAATTTTATGTTGTCACTATATTAAGAGAATTTCTAACAAAATGAAATAATTTTCATTGATCACGATTGTATCTAGTTCACAGTTTGAGAAATCAAGCCGTTCACACGGGAAACTTCACGCATTCTTACAAGCATTATTAACACGTCTCGTGTAATGCTACTTTTGCTACAAAGTATATTACATAAATTAATGATTATGGACTTAGTTCTTAGGTCGATAAAAAGCAACCACGCCTCCGTTGTGGTCGATTATAATAATTTCGCATTTACATATGTTCTTAGGCATTTGTTAAGAGTTTATAAAAAAGTCTAGGATGTTCATGTGAACGAATTCCCTTCTAAACGGGCGAATCCGTTTTCCATTTTAAGTTCGTAACAAAGTTTTTTATATTACAAATTTAAAAATAAATAAAAACAAATAACACTCAGAAACCTTTCTTAACACCCACTAACCAAAATTATCCAACAGCGTGTTATAAGAGACGTTCCTTTAAACTTTTAATGTTTTTAGTTGTTGCTGTACCAACTGATTCTGTTGATGACGGCTCAGGTAATGGCAACATGGTAGGAGGTTTCCATGGAAGACATTTCTTAACTGCATTGATTAGTTTAGTAATGACGTACTTCACATGTTTTCTGTTGGAAGGAGACAAAGTGTCAGTTACCAGAGGAGAACATCTACTTGTCTGACGTGTGTAGTTTCTCCTTACTCAGAGCCCTGAAAGGCGAACACAACTAATAAAGTTCCAAATACGACAAATACGTTTGAAAATAGTTTGGAAAATATATCACACAGATGCTTCTAGGACAATTATTTATATTTCGGAGGGAAATTTGGTAAGGATAAAAATACACTGCAAACTGAGTTTCAAGAAGGGTATAACTACAGAACACCGCAAATTCTTGCACCTGTCTTGGCCTCATTAGTATCAGTTTGCCAGGCAGGAATATCGCTTCCTTGAAGCTGGGCCGTGAGTGAGCTCCATCACATTCGCGTCCGTGTTATCTCATACGCAGCTTTCGGGCAGTCGGTTCGCCATTAACCTCTCCTTGATGGCTGTGCCGTTCAGCTCCAAGTCCGCACTGACTGAAGCACTAGAACAAGGGGCAGCGGGTCTTGGTAGTTGACTTGGTGCGCCAGGCAGACGGAGGTCTTTGGGTCGGATGTCCCAGGAATGCGTCGAAGGAACAGCAGCAACAGCGAACTGATGACACTGCAACCGAGGACGATGAGCCGAAGAGCCTGAGAGAACTCGTGATTTGCGTAAATCGCTAGCTCACTGACAAAGTAACTAAAACACCAATGAACACATGCACGGTCACTGATCGGCTCGATTCATCATCTACGAAAGTCCGTGGAGCAAAGTCATTCTTGAAAAGCCAATTGTCGTCAACTAATCACGACATTTCTCACCAGAATAACAAGTGATGATTAGCGTATCTGTCGAATCCCTACGTCTTGTGTGAGTGCGGAGCTCACTGTTTGCAGCGAAATAACACTGGCAAGATAAGTGATACTCCACTGCCGATAAAGAGATTTAGCACAGAGCTTTCTACCTTTCTGGTATTTGACTTAAATTTTGACCTCACATTGTCCTTCTCCCGCTCAGTGTGCGCCGAAAAAAAGGTGTGTTCCGCATATAACATAAAGAGGAGTAATCCATCATTTCGGTATTAAATATTCTAGACAACGTCGGGATTATCTATGTGTACATAGGAGGATAATATTAAAATAGTTCCAACAAAGCTGTAAGAAAGATAAACACACGACTGATAATACGGAAATAGTTGCTGAAACAGAAACGATGTACTCCCCATTTTGCCTTTATGTTATTTTCTGTAGATAAAAGTAACATCGTACTTTCATTGTTAATATTTAAACATATCGTAAAGTATGTAATCACATCATGTATTAGGTGTCTAGTAATAAACGGCGAGATGTGCATAATAGAAGTGCTGAAAGTTTGGACATGGTCCTCAGCTTCCAATTTGCAAGCAAAATGCATTTTCAGCCCCTGTGTTTATAGCAACGACACACCTGTGACTTACTTCGATGACCCTTAAAATTCCACGTATTTGCTTTGTAAGACCGAACAGTAAACCAAATGATTTGCTTATTCAATAAGGCAGTCCTCGTGCAGCCTGTAAATGCACGAGGACTGCTTGTTAAAGTGACGATAACCCTTCGCCCAACATTTCTGTGGGGAAACCGAGGAAAGGACTCGTCTAAAGAGATAAGAAAGAGTGATGGTAAGGATTCCGAAGATAACTGGTCATGTTAAATGCAATCACGAAGGATTCTAAAGCTGCTCCAATCGCCTCTTTCTCCTTGCTTGTGTCTTTCAGTTTTATCTCGTCTTCCGAGACTGGGGAACCACAGAATACACATCAGTTGAACGAAACTGTAAAACATATTTAACAAAAATTCTGCTCTCTTCTTCTTAATTCGTATTCTCGCTTCTGTTTGTCTGTGTGTGCTTTATTTGTCATTTTTGGAGGATACATCAGTTCCTGTGGTCTGCTGTGAATACTAGAGAGGAACTTTGTACGAGTCACAAAGCCGCCTGTAACGCGCTGGATTCCACTAACCAGTGTTTCAAACTGCTGGCTTATCAGTTTCAGTTATAGGAAGTAAACTGCTTTTGTCCAAATGTCTATATATTTATGCACAATAGACTGAAGTCATCGTCTTCCCCCCCACCCATGTCAGTGGTCTTATGACCTCAAAGAAAAGGCCATCTTTCATTCTACACCGATGCATTCATTTACTGTACTCGTAGAAAGCATTAATTTAAATGGCTGTTTAGGTATAAATCATAGACAATACTATTCCATAAAATAAATGTGGGTTTGTCAACCAATCTTTGTTACTTATTTGTCTGGGGTAGAAATACGTAATGACAGAATTTATGCGTACTGCATAGAAGACTTCATATACTACAGGATAAATGCACATAAGACAGCTGTTTTGAAAGTTGGCGGTTGATGGAACCAATAATAGACAATGAAAACAGGGAGTATGGTTTGCTTTTGTCCTCGAGTGCAAATTACGATTCATCGCCCTGATGACGGAGGCAGTATGACCTCAGAAACGTTGGTAAACATCGACCAGCGCAAAAACCCAGAAGACAGAAATCTTCAGCGTTCCACTTGTCACAAACCGCAGTGACTTTCTGTTTCTGTTTCTCGTGACACAGAAGTGAGACAGACAGTATCTATCAAGAAGAGTACGTTATTCTTGGTAATGGGATGAAGTCAACCAGCAGGAGAATCTATTCCGTTCGGAATTGCCGATGAGGCCCGTATCTCTACACACGTGTTCGGCTTTATTCTGCTATAAGTTGAAGTGCAAGTTGCTGTCTGCAAAAGGGACACAAGAACAGGAAAGAAAGGACACATTATCGATCAGCTGTTCTGATGTAAACATGTGTGATGGTCGCTTACATACGCAACAATTTCGCGACAATATTGCTAAACTGGACTTAAGGATAACAGGACGTAATTATGTGAAATGGGCTGCACAAAAACATGGTCCAGTGGCGTGCAATCGTGAACAAAGATAATTCTGGGAACTTTTCAATAAAGACGATGCACCATGGAGTAAGTAGGTTATTTAGGCGGAAGTTAACCTGAAATTACAATGTTTGCTAAGGGCAAAGAGACATTTGAATTATTTACATAAGTAATCAAGCACCTAACTTAATGAATGCATATAATTAAACATACAGCAAATTATAACACTTTGTGGGCTTGCAGCGTAAACCTGTCAGGTCCTAAGTCCTGGTATTTTGATTTATATATATATATATATATCGTAAGTGGTGTAAGAAACATCTTTAAAATTAAATTTTACACTTGACGAAACGATTAAATTTACATAGTTTATCTTTCTTCTTATTTAATCATGAACGGTCAACAGAAGACACGATTAAAAAATGACAAAGTTAGAGGTTTTATGTACGTTACTATTACATTACTTTACTGTTTAGTCAGATTATGGATTTGTTATTTGCTGCACTGTAGCTAAGTTACAGACAGCAATTGTCTGCCAAGAGCATGTGACTGTTTGTAGCGCAATATACCAAACTGTCACTGAATGACCCTTTTTCACACCGTGCTACTCTTTACGACTTACGACAGCAAATACCATGCACTTTATGGTATAAGTGACTCAAGTCTCAAGCCCCTACTGTTTTATTTCACGTTGACTGATTCTTCAGTTACTTAATGACGTTGAAAATTCATTAAAGTCTGCGGTACTAGTTCAGTAAGAGGAACCTCACAAATGTAAATGAGCATTACTAACTACTCAGAGACTCGTAATATAGCGACAGAATGTGATCCCATGTATTGTTGGCAAACACTTGATTTGTATTAAAGAACACATATTTGAAACGTGGGTTGCTGTAGAATGGGGCACGAACAAAGTATTAAATATGTAGGTACAAAAATGCGTTAAGCCGCTGTTTAGCGCGTTTAAACAACAAATAGGATAATTATTGTGCGAAATGATAAAGGTTCCTTAAGAGTGTCGAAAATGTTCTGCTATTACGGAACTCGGGTTTGCGTTCCGAATTCGGCCAGTTTTTAATTTGCTGACAGCCACGAGGAACTACTGTAGATACGTCACCATATTTAGAAGGCGGTTCTTTACAAACAGTATCCTTGATAGGACGGTATCAGGAATGATTGACTTCGTAATTTAATGCAAGTTTTATTACAGGAAATTGATTTCAGACCTCAAAGTGGAAATAATGTTTCTTCTTAGATTGAACACGAAACTCCCCTCCCCCAAATCCATTTAAGCAAAGAAGGGGAAGTACTTAAATTTTGTTGAGGTTATTTTCATGGGATGACTCCAACGAAGAACGCCCCCAGCATGTAATAAGTGTCTAAACGGTATGGACTCGTTCTTGATCAGTTGGCAGTGTTTCAGCCTGCCAAATATCCCACTGCCTTTTAGAAACCACAAAATCTCTCTATTAGACGACACGGTTATCTGGGGCAAATAACCTTGGGGGTGGGGGTTTCTGGACGATGATGTCACAATACAAAATTCCACGCAAAGCTGCGAGTCTTTCTGGAGATTCCTCGGCTGGGGATTCCCCACCCAGTCACGCCCGCGAGACAAAACGCATCAAGGTTGTCATGTACACTTCCAGATTCTGTAATCTGACCGATTTAAACCGGCACTGGAATGCTTCGCCGAATCTCAGAACGCAATGGCCCACTTCTCAGCGTCATATTTCACACAAATCCGTTCAGAGTTAACGCGAGTTAATAGTGCCAAAAGATATAATCATGATGAAGCTAAAAGGTTAATTTTCTTCTTCGTTCCTGAAAATCATTCAGTGATACGGATTAAACTAGTTTTTGTAATGATATCGGTTTGCTTATATTTTGTAGGTACCCGGTTCGAATCTCAATCGTATGACCGATATCTCAACAACTTCCGCAAGAACGGCTTTAAATAGGCCACGACCTCTTTATTACGCATGCTTATTTACTCATTATTAATGGACATTTCATGTAATTGGGCGCCTCCAATATACAGTTGATACAGCATATTTTAATAATCTAAAAATGGTGAGTCATACGTGTTTGTTACATTCAAACACTGGCATACAATTTTTCTCCCATAAAAAGTTATTACTGATTCTAAGCAACGTGCAAAGAAGGCGTACAAGGGACTAGAACATAAACCTCCATACATTCCACATTTTGCTACGAGACGGAGCTGACCGGTCAAATTCAAGGTCTGGACGCAATGGTATTTCTGCACAAAAATCGAACTCCGACGATCCACCCCACAGCTAAGAACGCTACTGTTCTCCTCCACTAACACGATAAATGGACTTCAACGAAAAAAAAAAATGTCCTCTGGTAAAACACCAGCTGGGCTTCACAGGGATAATGGAATAGCCTTACAATACGGCAACTTCTCCGACTGCTGTGTGGATCGTGTTATCTAAACGAAACATTGCAGGCGGTCTTAATATATTATTCCACAATAAAATGGGTGGTTATTTAGCGTGATGCAGTTCAGGTAAAAGGCGACTGTCGACTGTCCTAAACGAAACATTGCAGGCGGTCTTAATACATTATTCCACAATAAAATCGGTGGTTATTTAACGTGATGCAGTTGAGGTAAAAGGCGACTGGCGACTGTCGACTGTCCCCAATTGTATGGAAATATAACCGCTAGTTCCATTCTTACAACGTACAACGTATCATGTCCTCGGTATTAAATCGTTGGCAATCCGACGATAATGGAGTGGAAAAGTATTGTTAAATAAACGAAGGATCAGTAATCGATTGCTGAGTTGGTCTGAGGACTCTTGAATTCAAGGAGTGTCCCCAATACATTGACTTTTCTGGGTCCTGGTTAACCAGCCAGGCGCTTAACCAAAGCGAACGTCCATCGAGCGCCCTGGTGATGGTGCTCTCACCTACTCTGTTGACAACGTGCCTTCGGGGGGGGGGGGGGGGGGGGGAGAGCTGTCTTAAGTGTTAGATAAACCGGGTTTAGAAAACTCTAGTATCTTTCCCGGTCACACAGCTACATTCAGCAAGGTTGCAGGCCTAATAACGAAGTTGAACTACAAACTGTCACGTAATATGGAAACTGAAAATTCCTTATCGTGTTCACAGAAGACCGACACTGGATCCCATCGCTAGCCAGTTGAATCCCATCCACAATACCATGAATATATTTGTTTTACGTTCCTCTGCCTCTGAACTGGTTCATAAAGCTACCACTATGCAGCGCTAAGACGACAAATAATAGACAACAAGAAAAGGGGAATTTATATTCATAAGTTAGTCAAATTATGTGCAATTTTGTAATGTCAGTAGAGTTTATTTTAAGAGAACCGTGGAAGTGAATCAGTACTTTCACTAGTTTTTCTATAAAATAAACTTAATATCATACCACCTGCGTCTAGGTCTACCAATCGATCTTTTCTTCATGAGATAATATATAGAAATCTGTATGAAATGTGCCTTCTTCAGTGCGTTACATCTCCTGCATTCAACAATCACCAAAACAATGTTTTACGAACTGTACAACTTGAAGCTCGTCATTATCTTATTTACCGTCCCGTCCAAATACTATACCCAGAAACCTAACCACCGCTCACCAAACTAAATCAGGATCGTCCACGCTTAGAAACAAAGGCAGTGGACAGGTGAAAATTAACATTTTTGTATTATTTATTTACGTATTCCCAAGTTTCCAAGATTCATAGAAGATTCAGATAGAAATGTAGGGGTACTTTAAATTATTTATATGATTATTTTAATGTCAAAATAGCGGTGTAATGTTCCGCAAAAATTCTTCGTGTAAAAAGTTCATTTGATGTATGTCTTCCTTTACGTCTACTACGAGACGGCACATTCATGCATGCGAAATTGATGTCAATAACAATTGGAATTTTCAAGTAAAAGAAGACTTTAGGTTCTTTATTTTCCATCTTTTCCTAGAACGACTCGATGTTACTCAATGCGCGATATCTATTCGTTCATCCAGAAACTATGCATTACATTCTATTTAGAATTCTGTATGATATATGTACTGCGCGCTGTGGCCAAAGCGAACAGGCTGTAGTTTGCCGTGTGTTCCAGCACCACCTGTCTTCTGTCAGTGCAACAAGATCACAGTGCTGTATTTCTTTTTTCGAATTTATTGATACGTAATTTTTAGAGCATCTACAAAGTGCTGAGGGCAATATGTGCACCTGAGAGACAGGTCGTAACAGAAGAATAAAGAAAAAGAATATGATAATAAGGAACTTCATAATTTGTACTCCGCCTAACACTGTGTTGAAATGAAGGCGAATTAGATACAAGACGCTCGTAATATGAAAAGTGTACTAAGTCCTAAATGGAAAATGGACAAGATGAGACTTCAGAAAAATTAAACCGTGTTTAGGTCGGGCAGTTTATTTCTCGGGGGGAGGGTGCTTGGCGGCTTAAACATTAGAATTCGACTGGAGGTATGACTGCACGTCCTTGCGTCTGTGTTGCGGGCTGCCCCTTCTCCCGTTCAAGGGGTCAAGGTTTCTAAAGCTGAAATTCTCTCGAAAAATCAATGCTTATACCGAGTTATAATAGTAGCAATAGAAGTACGCTAATTTATTAACAACATTAAACTAAAAATGGAGTGTGTATCCATTTCATAAACATGGCGCTTACCCCTAGAACCTGCAAGTAGGTTCACTGAAAACGAACTTAAATATTAATCGAGTAATTTCTATTTGCGTCACTGCACGTGTGTATAAGCACAGATAACACTATCGTAAAGTGAATGGCCGACCAGTGGACTATAACATTATTATGATGGAAAAGTATCGACATGCCGTAGGCCCTATAATGTCCGATAATGTCTACCAACCGTAACATTTCCTCACTAAGCGCATGCATGAATATTTGTGTTTATGTGTCCAAAATGCAGGGATATTCTGCATTAAGGCTTATATTTTATGGTGAGAGCAGAGATGCAGTTCGGCTCTTGCTTAAATATAAAAAGAGTATTAAAATCAATCATCATTACTATGATGCGGTTGAGAGTTCCGAAGGATTAAGTAATAATGTTACAAATAAGAATAAGTCTTTATTTATACCGATATCACTTAATCCTTCGGAACTCTGATAGCAGGCATTAAACTCTGTTCTAAACCGGGTACCTGCAGAATACTTGACAGGTCTATGCTAAAACGTAACCAGCATTTCACGTTGCCTGGTTTATATTTCTGTGTCGATAATAGCTGGAGATAAAATGCTTCGAAGCTCATAATACTTTTGATAATCAGTTTTGTCAAAAGACAATGCTGTATGAATATAATGTGTGAGGGTTTCCTTTCCTTGCTGGTGGAGTACACGTAATACTGAGATTTATATCCAAAGATTCTTGGCCGGCGTACTGCAGAGTGATATAAATCAGACGGAATCAATTTTAATGTATACCGATGGCTTTTATAAGTAAACAACTTTATTATTATTATTATTATTATTATTATAATAGGTACTGGATCTCTCATAAAGGGACGAGAAATCTAGAAATTGTCGATTTAAAAAGCAACTTGTCCTACGGAAATTGCTCCATAAGTGCAATATTTTAATCTCTAAACGAGTCAAATTTTAAATAACGTTCAACAAAAGAGCACAATAATTTCACTAATTTTAAGGCGTCAACTCTGTACGTATTTTTTCGCATTACCACCGTTACTATATTTATAGGATATATTTAACATTAACGATGGTCAGATTTTACAATGTGGTGTTACAACACGCATCTAAAGGTTACTAACACTAAAATGAGAAACCACAGCATTTCTGCTGGTGAATACTGAGTCCATCTCTTTAGATGGACGCGGGTGTCACACCTAAGAAATTTTATGGACGCTGTGGCGAAGAGAAAATATTTGTTTCTGTTGGAATTAGAAAAATCCACCATTTTAGCGAACTTAATTTTTTTGGGTTTTGGAAACAAAAAGGAACAACTTCATCTTTAGCGCCTTCTTTATTGGCGCTGGAATCATTTCCCTCCTACAATAGCACATACTCCGTATTTACCCCAATGTCTGGCAGCAAAATGTTACCTTATGAAAGGTAAAGCCAGGCACAAAAATTCAGTAGGTGTAAAGCCGCTCCAAGCTGAAAGGCACGCGAAAAGAAAGCTGTATTTCTGTGCGGGCCCATCTCTTGTAAGGGAGAGGAAGAATTGTTAAGATAAACGACGCCCATTAAATCGCCACTGAAACATTAAAGGCGGACTAACCATAACAAAGGACTGTGCTCAAAATAATGGGGGAGATTTTTCTAGAAAATAACAGAAGGAGGAGACAAATAGTTAAAAAGAATTGGCGACTTATATTGTACGAAAGAGAGCAGTTAAATCAAGTATCATCTGACTGTAAGTCGCTCGTAGTCTTTATATACGACACGTGGAAGTTATTACTAACTTCTTGTACCGGATGTTAAAAATACTCGCTGTTTCATTTGCCATTTCTTTGTACGTGTAAAGTTATTTAAGTAACCACTTGTACTGGGTGTCCAAAAAGTAACATAACATACGTTTACAAAACTTTAAAACTGTCTTAATACGAAACTCATCACATGTTTCGTATCATTGGGTCCATCTTCAGGTGTTCGTTTATATCCATATATCTCCACACTGCCGTCTGCTGAGGGCCTGAAGATGGAGCCGTGGGTGCGAAACATGTCGTGATAAGTCAGATATTAAGACACGAGAAGACAGTTTTAAATCCGTGTCAACATGGCCAATAATAATAAACATAATTTCTTCCACAACATGACGCAACAATACAGTCTTAATACAGCATATTTTTTCACGGTAAACTCATTTATTCTAACATCGTGAAACATTAAGACGAGTGATAAAGGAATCTTGAGGACTTACCACTGTGCTCATGGCTGGAGGAGAGTCCTGAGAGGCCCAGAGACCCGCGGGTCCATGCGGGGAGATGGTAAGCGACGTTGGATGCTGTAGAAGGGCTTGCTGTGGAGGGTAGCTACATGGAGGACTCGCCTCCCTTAGGATTACGTTTCCGTTGCCCACCAGAGGCCCGACTGTAGGTCCTGAGTCCGCTGAAGCTGTCGCTGTTGGAAATTAACCTTGCGTTAACCCCCGTAAACCGATTATCAATGATAGACCTACTGGGTGCAATTATACGTTCCAATATCAGTATAGAGTGTACACAAAGTACAATCACATTTTCATTGGTGTTCATTTATGCATCCCTCGCTCCTCCAGAGGTCCTGCGTTACGTGAGGTTATACTTTCACTGCTGAACTATATGAATACAAACGTGACACTGGTAACCGAGTCATGGCGTCACGAGTAGCTTAGTGGAAGGACATATCGCTATAAAAAATTAAATTGTGAAGATTTTGTACGTTACTTGGAGAATAATAATAACTGTAACTGTGCAGTATAGTATCTTAGTGCCATCATCTTTACAAAACCAGACATATTTTCATTGCGTGTTGTGTACATAAAGACCACTGTTGCATGCAGAAAGAGGGGGAAAAAATACGACTTATGAGCCTGCTGCATTGCATTTCATCACTTCACTGACTGATATTTCGCAACACAACAAATTCTCTTGCGGGGAAAAATATTTTTGTTTTGCTAATTATGAGAAAGGACATGACAATACAATGAATAAAGTTTAATCCCACTTAAAAACGACTAGTCACTGTTACGTGCGTTTTTATCGTGTTCACTCTGAAACGATTCAGGGCAGAAAAGGGCCATGTAGGATTAGGGATAATCAAGGCAGTAAATAATAGAGCAAGTCACTGTAAGAGACAGACTTAACTGAATTTATCTGTTTGCTCAGAATCCGCACGGAATGTGAAAGGTTTTAAATATGCCATTCTGAATCATTCCCTTCGGGAAACAAGGCAGCTAAATTAGAAGACAGACCACGCTAACACACTGTTTGCTCTTAGTGAGAGCTGCCTGCCTGTCTATCTGTCTGTGAACTTGTTCCAACTCTACAGAAAAGTCAGACTTAAATTGGAGTTGGATAAAATGTTACGTTAAAAGCAATGTTGAATGAAATAGGGCACTTTTATTTGCTGTTTAAATTAAACCGTGTAGTGCAAATCAATGTCGTTTTATTAGCTTCTGATTTACTAATATTTCATTAATATCGCAAAATTTCTTCGTATTTTCAGTGCATAGGCTATTTAATCTGATATGGTTATTTCTGCAGCAAAATTTCCCGTTTTATTAACACTGTTTGGATCATTTAAAAAAAAATTTCTTTCCTTTCATTCCTTTGTTTCGTCCCAATTGTTGCTTCGTCTCTATTGTTCAGGTATCTTTTCTTCCTTTCTCTCTGTCCTCTATTTCTTCCTTTATTATCCTTTCTTCGAAGAATTCGTAGATTACAGTACACACAAGATTATTCTCTGCCCAATTTAAACATAATGGGAGGCTTTTATACATACGCAAGATAAGACATTCTTAAGCTGTTAAAATGGGACAGACAGTTTATTACTAGGGAGAGCTGTCGACAAAAGAAGGAACACTTACTTGCATGCGACTTTCAAGTCTTTAAAGCACAAAGCTCATATTCATAACATTTAAAAGTACCCCCCCTCGGGCTACAAATAGGCTATCAGTCTGCTTACGTTCAAGAAAAGAATCGATATTTATTGTGGGAATCGAACGAAACATTCAAAAGCACAGTTGACAAAATGACGAGTTACTAAACGTCAGAGAGTGTGGTAAATGTAGTTGCTGATGCAAAGTGAAGATTCTGCGCAGTACGATTACCTTCAGACTGCGCCACAGATTGGGCGGTTAGTCGCCATCTTCACAAATTACAATAATTAAAGGATTAATATTTCGCATTCACATATTCAATATTCATCGCTAACAACAACGGTAAGCCTACAGCAACTTTGGATAATTCGCTATGTAACTGTTTGAAACACGAAGCACATCTAAATAATATTTTAAATATTTTTTTATTTAAAAAAAAATCAACTCGTCCATATTAAGAAAAATCAGACGATTAATGTTTAAGGAATTTATCTGTTTGTTCTGAGACTCGTGTACAACCCATAGACACACTCTGCGGACAAAATGCAGGTTAATATAATGCTGAAACAGGTGGTAAATATAATGACCATTATGTGAGGGATTTAACAGTTACGTCTACTTGCACTGATTGTGCAATAAAACTTGGGCAGTAACTTTTGAGAAACTGTCTACCTGTATTTCGTTTGTAAACAAATATATTTCGTTCTGTAATCCATACGGGGTCCTTAATCCTACTTCCACAGTTTATAGAGCCATAAATAGCCAACTCCCAAACGCACGGTAATCCCAAATTTTCGAGTGGAGCCAGATTCATGTACAGGCACGTCGCAACTTTGTTGATCACTGGTTATCACGTGACATTCGCACGTGAGCTACCAGATAACGGAATCGCCATGTTGCTTCATCGTGTTAAGCCCTCAACCTATTGGATGAGAGCAAAGATACCACAGACTAACGCAGAAATTCTTACACAGGGCAGTAATCACCCGGTGACATTCTTCATATACTCCGATAAACCATTCACCAAATATCAAAAATGTTCCTTCAGAAACATATCATCTTTATGATGGTCGTCTTCTGGGTTGTTGCGCCGTGTAGTCTGGTAGAAGTTTACCGACGTTTCAGAGGTCATACATATCATCTTTTACTTTTTTGTAGTGTTCTGTCTGCCGACAGGTCCATATGAACAGGATCCTTCCATCCTTTTCTCGGACTTGGACCTGTTCATATACGTTCTTGGCAGATGATCCAGAAGTGGTTTGCCATTGCCTTCTTCTGTGTGTGAATGGAGTAATTGTTGGGATGCCACGGAGAAACCGGGGAAGCCCCGGGAGGAAAAATCCGTAAGTTCGGACGGACGGACGGTGATACTGCACTCACTCTGACCTTATTATTATAAAGGCTGTAATACAATCGTGTGTAAACCATGATTTCTTAAACCTATAAATCACGTGGTATAGTCATAAGAATGCAAATCCCGTTGCACGATAAATACCAACAAATACTGTGACTGCAGACGATTAGAACAAAAATAAAAATAGGCCACAAGCCTTAAAACGGCAGATATTTCATTTAAAATAACATGTTACGATCTACAGCTGCTGAGGCCAGGACCACCATTTCTCTAAGATTTTCTGACGTTAATTTTCGACGAACACAATAAAAATATTAGAAGGATTCTTTGAGTTGACCATGAATCATCGGGAAGATTTCTTCTGTAAATTTTGATTCCAAAAAAAAAGGTATTACAACCCTGTTCTTCGTATCGCCCGTCTCCCGTTTCTTTTTCGTCTTCCCTTGTAGGCGTGTTGTATCTACAAAAGATCTTCCACCACTCCAAACTCCTCGTCTCGATTCTTCTCAGCAGTGGTAGAAAATTTATGGGTGTTCTTGTCAATAATGGATGTAAAAGAAACGAAAACCAAAAGAAAAGGTACTTCTGTACTGCAAGTCGTCTTTATTAAAGAACAAGGACGAGAATAATGCGGAGATAGCTAGGTAAATACTGATG